ATGAATAATGCTCATATTCATTAAATCACTTTTAAGTTTTCTTTATCACATTGTTGTATTTATCATATGGATATGATTCTGATTTATGGTTTATTATTCCTTATACTAGAGAGTTTTCTCTCTTATATATAGAAAATAATCTCACAACTGAGAGTCTTTAAATATTTTGAAACGAAGTCAGCTTGCTAAAATGATAAGAGGCACAAAAAGAGTCCAAAAGAAAAATAAAAAGATGCATAATGATTGCCAAGTAATTGCAATATACACCAAAGGGTATCAAAAATCAAAAGATGAGTAAAATGTACCAGATAATTAAAAAAGAGGTACAAAATAATCCCATAAAAATAAGCTTCAATCCCTTTCAAATCTTTAAATCTTAAAATAATTCATGTGTCACTTAATATCTTCAAACAATTGATTTTTTTAAACACATGATTTTTATTGATTACTTTGTAACAGTATTCTATCAAATATGTATTTGAAATGAAGTTTGAACATATCACTTTTCTTATCTAATTTATTTTTTGAATTAGATTATTATTTTTAAAAAGATTTTTAACCTGAAAGGAGTCAAAGCTAGGGTTAATAAAATTAGTTTCCTACTTTTTTCAAATTTTAGCATTATTAATTCATTTCTTACTTATTTTTAATAAACTCACAAGGGAAATTTATCATTTACTAGAGTTGATGGATTAAAAAAATTGCATTTTTTTGTTTTTTATTTATGATTGTTTTTTTTTTATATTTTTTGTATTATTTTATACTCTTTTGTATTTTTACTTTTGTCTTGAAGAACTCATGCTTATCACTCTCCATGTCCTAAAATTTTCTAGTTTTGCTCACATCATTTAGGATGATCCACATCGTCCTGTACAATATGAATAAATATACAAACTCTCTAATCACACCATATTCAATGGCTAATCTAAACTAATTATTGGCGATCGTCTTGTACAATTCGTCCATTGTACTAGATGATCCACATGGCATAAATAATTGGATGATTTGAATGTTGTTAGGCCGATCCATTATTACACATCATCCTGAATGATACACATGTTTGTCCTGTATGATCCCTTTATTTAATGGTTGTATAGGATGACTCCTCAGGATGATCACCCTGTGTCAAATCATCTAGTACGATATCTAATCATCTTAGATGATAAGATCAACCTTTTTGATCGATCATCTTGACAACATTATTTCCCCTGTTCATCTTAGATGATCTCACGATTTTCTTTAATGATATTGTCGATCTTATTTAAATAGCCAAAATTTAAGGTTTTCTTCACACCAAGCATTCCAATTCCTTTTTCTCTAATTCAAGCTTTCAATTTTTGAATATGGATGGTGGTAAATGATCTCGTGCTCTCACAGGTAGTTCTTCAAGGAGTACTATTGATTCTCGCTTTATTAAAGCAGTTGATGAAGATGCTTACACTAGCTACAAATTTATAGGGATTAATTCCTTAAAGGTTGTCAATCAAGAGGTATTGAACTATCAGGTACTAGATCTCTTTTCCCGCACTACTCTTCTCTTCATTTTCTCACTTACTTTTTCCTTCAATTCTGAACTACTTTTTGAATTCTTAGCCAATCTCTATCTGAATTCTGATTTTATTGTGCTCCAATCGTATGTTAATCGACGACATGTTGAAATAATATATCAAGATTTATAGGAATTTCTCCACCTTTCCACCACTGGAGACAAACTGCATATTTTGGCTTTAGATCTTGACATTAATTGGAGCCCTTTAAATACCCTTCTTCGAGAAACTAATGCCCCCTTTCATGACTCTGCAACTAGTTCCTTACTGAAGATGCCCGAACCATCTAACATATTCTTCGCACCTCCATTATTTTGAAAGATGAGGATCGAATCCATATTACCCTCATCCTATCACTCACCACCTACTACATAATGTCTCATTGAGAAATTTTAATATCGTTGATATTCAAATTTGCTATATTGAATATCTAACCAACATTAAGGATCACGACCATAAAAGAAAGCTAAATATAGTCTTAGGACATATCATAACCTATGTCCTCAAAATTAAATACAAAATTTAGTATCCAGGACCACATGATCATCTCCCTATTTTTTACTCAAATAGCTCCTTCCATATCCTTTATAGTACTTGTCATCACCCTGTGCACGATGAGGCTGCGGTAGAAGAGGAAGATCATATTCCTGCACCTATCCCTATCCACCAGCACTCCCAGATCAATCAACTAGTTTAGAGGTTTGACCTGTGGGAAGCCAGATTTGAGTCCTTTGTCACCGAGCAGCAGCAACATCATGATTAGGATGTAACTCGGTTTGAGGCATATGTAGCCCAACAGCAGCACGCTAAGATGTGGCCTAGTTTGGTGAGCAGTTTGCTTCTCTTCACTGATTCTTTCAACAGCCACCCCCACCACCTCCACCTAATCAGCGTTCCTCTTTCTACTAGTGTGTTAGTGTTTATTTCTATGTGCACTAGTTCTCTTTTCTGTATTATATTCCATTTAGTATTTTTCTTATTTTCTCTTTTTTTGTGATGTCAAAAGGGGGAGTAGTGTGCTATTTACTTTTAATTTTAGTGGAATATACTTTGTTCTACTGCTATTATTTTTATGTCTCCAATTTTTCTTTAATTTAAAAAAAATATTATTTCTTGCTTGATATGAAATTTTTAACAACTATGTTTACCATCATAAAAAAGAGGGAGATTGTTATAAATTTGGATTCAAATACTATGATTTTGATGATAACAAACATTATTATTTCTTTATAACTACTATTATTGCATATATATTTACTTTCCCTACTTATTTACCTTTAAGGTCCATAAATATCACTTGCAATGCAAATCAGCTCAAGATCGGGAAGATTAAGGTTGAGTCTGCTTGTAATTTCATTTTAATGTATTTTTTTTACCTTCATGAATATGGTGGACCACAAGCTAAGTAACCTTGCCTACACACACTCAAGAGGAGAAATTTGGTGAGTTAAAGTATTTTTTTTATTTTTACCTAATCGTACAGGATGATTTAAAACTATATTGGGCGATCAACTAAAAATAGAAAAGCTGATTAAGACATCTATGTTAATTTTGAGTGATTAAACTAATCATACTGGATGATCCATATAGTCCAAGATGATTAATTTAGAAGATAAAAAATAGTCTCAAATCACAGTTTAGGTAATTTTTTTATTTTTTAAATTTTATTCTAATGTATAGGATAATATACATCGGCCTGGATGATTTATGATAATTATGCCTAAATTAATATGGTGATTAAGGGAATAATTATGGTTAAATTATTCAATCAAATCATATAGGACGATCCATTTAGATTGTACTGGACAATCTAGTATTTTCATAGGATGATCCCCTATTGTCCAAGATAAAAAATTATAATTTTCTTCTAATCTTCCAGGAGAATCATACTGGGCATCCTGAGAGGGTTGCAGGATGATATGAAGATCGCTACCCATCATCCCATATCATACTGAATGATCAATATAGTATCTAAAACTAATCCTCTGAGATGATTGCAGGATCATACTGAATGATATATATAAATATTTATACTGATTGTACAGAGCAAAGGTAATCATCCTGGATGAAAGGGATATTTTGTACTAATCATATAGGACGAGACGATCAGTTGCACTTAATTTAAAATTAGGGCTTCTTTTGGAGGCTATCTATTTAAGCTCTCTAATTATCTCTTGAGATAATTTTTTGCTGTGGAGTTGATCCAAGAGAGAGCTTAGAGAAGGAAGAGGAAGAGCTTGAGAGAGAGAGAGAGAGAGAGAGAGAGAGAGAGAGAGAGAGAGAGAGATCCTTGTGAGGGAATTATAAAGGTTGCTCCAAGATAAGGTGTTCATCTTCTTACTCAAGTTACTTCTCTAGTTTCTTGGTGGCTCTAGGGAGATCTTTTTCAGCCTTAGATCCAGGTTCTTTGCCTACTCCAAGAGGGAGTTAAAGGATTCTCGGGTTTTCTGCCTTCAACAGGTGGGTGAAAAAGGATTTCTAGGTTCTTTGTCTACTCTAGGAGGGAGTAAAATGATTCAAGATTCTCTGCCTCACCATGTCAGTGAAAAGATTTTGAAAGGGCTTATCCATCTTGCTGTAGGGGCAAAATGAGAGTCACTTCAATTTAATGCAATATTTGGAGAGGGAGTCTCTAAGGAGTGGACGTAGGCCAGGTTTGACTTAACAACTATAAAATTCGGTGTGTTCTTTCTTATTATTTTTACCATATTTTATTTCAGTACTTTTCTTTGATTTGTTTTGTAAGTGAAAAACCCGATTTTAATGTTATCGTGAAAATTATTTTTCTTCCGCATTAAGGGTAATTTTGTTGTTTTATAATATTTAAAAAATATCCAAAATATTTTTCTTTTTCTTCAAGATTTTTTAAAACTACCAATTCACCTCCCACTTGGTTAACCTTGGGCTAGTTCTTTAAGGTTTCACAACCCTCACAAACTTTCAGATTCAATTGGGTTAGGGAGGTTCTTTTTTTTACTATTTTTGGATCATGGACAATGATGATTACCTGCCACACCCATCCCCCTTGGAAGGTTTTTGGATAATCAGGGGATCTGCCTCCAAAGTTATTTGATTATTGAAAGGTTTTAATTGAGTCCAAGGTGCCTATTTAAGTAGCTGTTACTTTATTTCTTCTTTATTATTTGAAGTTTTCTTGTGGTTCTTTCATTTGCTCCAATTTTGTTTCTTTTTAGGGTTTACTGGAGAGACTACATTGCTATTTCATATAGGTGTTTTGTTTGTTTGCTTCACACATGAAAAAAAAAGTCTTTTGTTTGCTTTTCTTGTTTGCTTCACACATGTAACTTCTTTCTAATTTGATGAAAAAGGCAAAAGCCAAATATTTTTTTAAAAAAGAAGCTAAATAAATATAATATTATATTTTTATTTTGCACGTGGGCGGTCGCAGCTTTCAAAATCCAAAAATGTAAAAAAAAAAAAAAAACGCACATTTAAAAAGAAAACTGCGTCGACGAAGGTAAATTCAACACCTCTAATCTCAAAGCCGGTTTGCCATTCTTCATGGATTCAGGTGTCCTCGTACGTCCTTGCCGCTTCAATCTCCGGCTAGCACAGGCAGCAGATCTTCTGCCGTCTGCCTCTCTCCGGACATCTGTACTCCCACCAGTCGGTTCTGGTCCCCGAGCAAGATTGCCCCGACTCGCTGCCGCGTCATCGACGGCGATCTCCCCAACAGAAGCGGAGGAGACGGATGTGGCAGCCTCTCACTCATCTCCTTATCCAGACCCTACCCTAATGAGGGTTACGGTAGAGTCTCTGCAGTATGAGAGTGGATTTCTCGGCGGCATCTCTGAGAAAACACCGCTGCCAGCGGCTGATAGGGGCGCAAATGGGGCGCCCAGCCCGATGGAGTATCTCACTAATATACTCTCTTCAAAGGCTTACGATGTCGCTATAGAGTCTCCTTTGCAGTTTGCCCCCAAGCTATCGCAGAGGCTCGGAGTCAATCTATGGCTCAAGAGGGAGGATTTGCAACCCGTAATTTATCCTTTGTGTTGCTTTTTTATCATTCCATTTCCTCTGCGATCGAAATTCCGTGTGATTTTTTTCTGTTAATAGGGCTTTGATTTTGCTCTTATCGTGCATTCGGAAGCTCGAATGATCTTTTTATCAGTTAGTCAGTTTTACTTTAACCTGTATATGGTACTCTTTTACGTTTTGTTACGTATTGGACACACTAAAACAATAATCTATTTGTCTTTACCAGTAGGTCCGTGCGATGTGTAGTTTCTTATTTAATGATACGAGAATATTAATTACGAATTCTAGATTGCCAGTCTTATTTTACTTTTCTTATTCTAATTTGTTTTTTAGGATATGTAACTAAAATATTTAATTAATATGCTCCTGCTTAAATGTAGGTATTCTCGTTTAAGTTGCGAGGAGCATATAACATGATGTCAAAGCTTCTTAAAGAGCAGTTGGATCAGGGCGTCATTTGTTCGTCTGCTGGAAATCATGCCCAAGGAGTTGCATTGGCTGCTCAGAAGCTGGGGTGTGATGCTGTTATCGTAATGCCTGTTACAACACCAGAAATAAAGGTTTCATGATCTTCCGATGGAGGGTTCTCTTTATTTATTCTCATAATGCAATTTTTTTGAATTTATGAGTAACTGAGCATACTGATGGACACCTAAATAGGCACATTTTGAACATACAAGATAAAAATATGCAGCTTTACTCAATTTAATGTAATTCTTTTGTAATGTTATATTTCTGATTTCAGTGGAGATCAGTTCAACGTTTAGGAGCAACAGTTGTTCTTAAGGGTGATTCTTATGATGAAGCTCAGTTATATGCTAAACAAAGAGCGGAGAGTGATGGTCGGACATTCATACCTCCCTTTGATCATCCAGACATTATAATGGGACAAGGAACTGTGGGAATGGAAATTGTTCGCCAAATAAAAGGTCCTTTGCATGCCATATTTGTACCTGTTGGAGGTGGTGGACTGATTGCTGGCATTGCTACTTATATAAAATGTGTTTGCCCAGAAGTATGTATCTGCTCTCTAAATCTTGAAAATTGTATGTGGTTAACCTCATATATATCTGAGGAAACAGAAAGCCTAATTTGATTATGACTCCATAGGCTGCATAGTGCATAAGCCACATTCATGCCTGCCTTTGTTTATGCTTCTAATAGTACTTTTTTATGTCCTCTCATATGGCAAGGAAGGATAATAGACAGTTATCATATCTTCTTTAAGGTCTTTCTTCACTAATGGGTCTGAGAGGTTTTCTTCCTGAGTGAATTACATTATCTAGGTGCAACTATTATTTTCATTTCATCTATCATAATTAATCAAACAAGAAGCCCGTCATCCCCGTAACCTAAATGCACTCGCGTTCTGCTCCTAGGCAATCTAGGGCTCCACTACAGGTTGCTTATGACCTTGGGATGTTAACAAGCTACAGCCCTTTCGGCTTAACACTCGCCAATATACTCATCCATACATACTCACCCTCAAGCACTAGGCATTATATGACTTGCCCCGAGACAAAGAAATACAATTAAGCAGAATAATCATTCACTAAGCCATTCGGGGTGTAACATGTCTAAAGCACTATGTTCGTTATTTTATGTATTATTTGTTTCCTTATTTTTGTAGCCTTTTGTAGTCCACAAATCTCTATAAATAAGAGATGAAGATGAATATTTTGGATCATTTTAATACTGTACCACTGATATTTTAGCTGGTAAACCATTTCCCCCAAAATTCTCCCCTTTCTCTATATATTATCTCACACGTTTATAGGTCATATTTAACAAGCTCGCATGCTAGTAAGGTTGGTTATCACCTACATACAAACTTGAATTCAAAATTTTGAAAGGTGCAGGGAAAGTGGATTAATGCTAGTGACTAGAAGAATGTCATAGCTTGATGAGCAGAACAGTCCCGAACCCTTGGTGAAAATGGAGAACCCAAATTAGACTACTTGCCACTATCTCATGATAATGGAGTGGAGGCCACCTAAAATAGTTCTGGATGCCTTGGTAGGTGTAGCTAGGCACGCTCAAAAGGAGAACACTTCTGAATGAATGTCCGACTCAGTAGTTCATCGTAAAAAGCAGGATAGTAGGGCGCTAACCTCAATATCTATCCCAGATCCCACTCATATGGTGAAGAGCAATGAAGAATATACCCACCTACTCGGCGCGTCAAAAGAGCCAAACTAAAATTGATGAACGCCTGCTTCAGGGAGATTGCAGAAGCTAGGTTTACCCTTAAAGTTTAAGATGCTACACTTGAAGTCCTATAGGAGGAGGTCTAATACAGTGGATCATGTGGTCACTTTTCAATCGATGACATTATTAATCGGTATTTATGATACTTTGAAGTGCCGATTATTTTTCATAACTCTAAAGGAATTTGTGTTAAGATGGTTCACTTGCTTTCCATTGAGAGTCATTACCTCTTTTTTTTGATTTTAAGAGAACATTTATGACTCAGTTTTCTAGCACCCAGAAGCACCATAAGAGCTCACAAATTCTCTTCAAAAGGTTGCAATAATCAGGATAACATATGATGAAATTTATTGTGAGATTCAAAAGGGAGATGCTAGATGTGAAGGATTTGGAACCTGCGGTCGCGTAGGCCACCTTTATTCAAGGATTATGGGAAGGCCCTTTTTGTTATGCACTCGACCTACTGCAATAGAGGACTTTGGTTGAGTTGCTGGAACTCGCCAACAATGACATTAATGCAAATGAATTCAATCGACTGGTTCAATCTTTTTTGACCATGCGTCTCTAAGAGCCCATTGTGAGAAGAAACCAATAACAAAGGAGAGGATTTGCCCAAGGGATAGAAGGGACTAGAGAGGGGGGGGGGGGGGGAGGGGGGGGGGGAATTGCTGGTGGACTCTACCTTATGGGCCCACAAGGGAACTCACTCGAGGATCAACAAGATCCAACTCAATCGACAAAGAGTAGTACCCCCTCTCATGAACAATCAAGGTTCCTCACATATTACCAAATTTTAAGGAGTATCCGTTGAAGCCATTTGTTACTATCTATGATGGAGCATTGCTTACCATACTCATCACCTCAGCTACATGAAAACATTTATCCAAGAGAATTCTTGTGGTCCTATCATCTGAAGTAGTTCTATTTCTTTTTAACTCTCATAATTCAAGCTTCACCAATGCTTTTTTTTTCTTCAAATTTAAACTAGGGACTACTTAAAGGCAGCTGAAGAAATGGAATTCAGAATTCCCTAATTCCATTATCTCTTCAATCTCATACGCAGCTATACATAATTGAGGAGTGAACCACTTGTCAATTCTTTATTCAACCTGGTTATTACTCGAGTAAAATGAGGTTGTCAAATAGAAGTCCGGAAGAGTAAAAGAGCTTGAAGTGAGCATCTATGGGATTTAGAATCGTATCTTCTTTATGGTGTTTCTTCACTAATGGGTCTGAGAGGTTTCCTTCCAGAGTGAATTATATTACCTAGGTGCAACTACTATTTTCATTTTATCTATCATAATTAATCAAACATGGAGCCCGTCATCAACCACAACTTAAATGCACTTGCCTCATGCTCCTAGGAATTTAGGGCTCTACCACAGGTAGCTTATGACCTTGGGATGTTAACCAGCTATAGCCCTTTCGACTTAACACTCACCAATATACTCACTCACACATACTCACCCTCAAGCACTAGGCATTATAGGACTTGCCTCGAGATAAAGAAATACAAGTAAGCAGAATAATCATGCACCAAGCCATTTCGGGTGTAACATGTCTAAAGCAGTATGTTTATTATTTTATGTATTATTTGTTTCCTTATTGTTGTAGCCTTCCGTAGTCCACAAATCTCGATAAATAAGAGGTGAAGAGGAATATTTTGGATCTTTTTAATACATGTATCGCAGATGTTTGAGTTAGTAGACCACTTCCCCCAAATTTCTCCACTTTCTCTCAATGTTTCCTCACCGATTCACAAGTCATGATCAACAAGCTCACATGCTAGTAAGGTCGAGCATCACCTACACACAAACTTAAATTCAACATTTTGAAAGGTGCAGTGAATGTGAATTAATGTCAGTAACTAGAAGAATGTCATAGCTTGATGAGCAGAACAACTGTGAGCCCTAGGTTAAAATGGAGAATCCAAATTAGATGACTTGCCACTATCTCATGATAATGGAATAGAGGCTAACTAAATGGTCTTGGATGCCTTGGTAGGTGTAACAAGGCACGCTCAAAAGGAGAACACTCCTGAAAGATCGTCTGTCTCGGTAGTTCATTGTAAACAGCAAGATAGTAGAGCATTGACCTCAATATCTATCCCAGATCCCACTCGTATGTTGAAGAGTGATGAAAAATATAACCCACTTAATTGGCGTGTTAGTAGAGCCAAACTAAAATTGATGAACATCTTTAGGGAGATTGCAGAAACTAGGTTTCCCCTGAAAGTTTAAGATGCTATATGGGTAGCCCTATAGGGGAGGATTGATACAGTAGATCATGTGGTCACTTTTGAATTGACGACATTACTATTGGACATATATTATACTTTGAAGTGTTGATTATTTTTTATAACTCTCAAGGAATTTGTGTTAAGATGGTTCACTTGCTTTCTAGTGAGAGTCATCACCTATTTTTCTAAATTCAAGAGAATATTTGTGACTTAGTTTTCTAGCCCCCATTAGCACCAGAAGAGCTCACAAATTTTCTTCAAAAGGTTGCAACTTGCAAGAATCTAGATAGCCATTGAGGAACTTCATTGTAAGGTTCTAAAGGGAGATGCTAGATATGACGGATTTGGAACATGAGGTTGCGTAGGCCACCTTGATTCAATGATTGAGAGAAGGTCCTTTTTGTTATGCACTCGACCTACAGCAGCAGAGGACTTTGGCTGAGTTGTTGGAACTCACCAACAGTGACATTAATGCAAACGAATTGAACCGAGTGTTCAAATTTTTTTTGACCATGCATCTCCAAGAGCCCGTTGTGAGAAGAAACCAATAACAAAGGAGAGTTGAGGAGAGGATTTGCCGAAGGGATATAAGGGACAGGGGAGTTGGCAATAGCTGGTAGACTCTACGTTTTGGACCCACAAGGGAACTCGCTCGAGGATCCTCAAGAACCAACTCAATCGACAGAGAGTAGTGCTGTGACATCCTAGGCGTCCATAGTGAAAGGATTTGTCGACAGTCTTCATCAACCATCACTTCCTGCTCCCTTGCTCTGACTTGAAATTGTTAACCACATATAATGAGCTTCAAAAGCCCAGCAGGTCACCAAAAACCTACAACTGAAATCAAAGCACGGTACTGAAATAATATGCATGTCAATCAGTCAAATCAATATCAGTCAGTTGCACATGATCATTGAATCGATGCAGATACGGAAATCAGTACAGAAACAGAAATCAATGCATAAACAATAGAATCCAAAATCATCAGTGATAGAATCAGTGAACAGTAGAAAATTCATAATGTTCAATAAATCAGTACGTGCATCAAATCTCTACAGTAGTCATCTTATCTATCACATCAGTCTATAACATCAGTCGAATCAATGTAGTAGAATCATATCAAGCATACCCACATACACTTGCAAATTCCAGTTCTTTATCACTTGCTCAATAAATCATATGCAACCCAGTAATCGATATCATGTGCTCAGTGAATCACATGTCACTTGCTCAGTATATCACATACATAAATGTCAGTACAATGAATAAGTAGTAGCCGTGTATGTATCAATATCAGTAACAATCTAATGATGACATGAACGATTATGCTATAACAGTTAAATCGTGTAGTAACAGTAAATCTGCACAGTAAAGATAAATCACAATTTAGTAAAGAAAACATCGTATTTAAAATATCCGTCAAATCAATATCGCATCAATCATAGCAATAAAATCAATCAGATCATTAAATAAAGAAATCAATTTCGGTCAATAATATCAGTCGGTATGAAATCATATAAAACGATTAATTCAATACATCGTAAGGACAGTTGAAATCAAATCGATAA